TCGAAACTGAATCGACCTAAGTTGAGAACAACCTATTAGAGGGTCTGTTTCTGTAAGTGTGACTGTTGGTTTCATACGAAATTCTCAATCTCGGTCATTCCGTTGATGGGTGAATAAATAACCGAATTTCTTGACATTATCTTCTGAAGTCGAGCTGAGCAAATTCGGGTATGCTTCCACTTAACGTAAAATGAAATTGGCCAGGTATTCTGGAAATCATTTAGTTCCGGGCAATTGTCACAAATCTGCAATTATGTAATAATAGGCTACGTTAAGCACCACATATATGAATAGTAGTATTGAATCTCACCTTGTTGACGATAGAGCTCCATTCACCTTGTCCGGGTTGCAGATCCATGCCTTTGATTGCGTCATCGATATATTTCTTGCAAAGTTTGATTAAGAATGTTATAAATTAGAACATATCGAGGGTCCAACTAACGGTGAGTAGAATATAATGGGCAACATCGTCTTCGAGTCCCATGGCCTTCCTAAGTTCTTCAGACGAGGTGGCTTGAATGATACGCGCTTCGTGTTCAGGGGAGGGTTGTGGGAATGATATGGTCTTGAACTTGGAGCTAGTGGTTGTTTCGCCATTCACGCTGGTTGTTTGTTTAGTGACAGAGATGTTATCGAGATATTTTTCCAAAGCAGCCCTGTGTAGCGGGTCGATAATGTTGTCCTGGACGGAGTCGAGAAAAGTGGTTGAACCCCATTGTCTAAAAACAATGAGATGGTGGTCGGAAACGATTCCAAGAGACGAGAGGACAGAAATTAGGGCATTTGATCCTGGGAAAATGTTGGTAACTTCCTTGTTATACGATGGCGCGAATTTGGGAATTGCACCACATTTAACGCAAGGCACAGGATAGTATGACGGGTCGGCATTATTGCCTTGAGACACGTATGTACACGGTTGATCCATCTTGCCATTGATCTACCATGGGTGAAATAAGAATATGTCATCGCGATATGTTGAACAACACACACTACTTACAACATCTGCGGCACTTGCAATTTGCGAGATATTCAATAAACTCACAGCGAGAGGCCTCAAAGGTTTTTGGAGTGCTGTTGTTTCGCTGTCGGTAGCGAGGCGAGTAATGCATTTGGGGCGGTGACGTGGTGTGTCACCGGCGAAGAAAATTATTCGACGTTTTGGTGGCGTTGCAGGCACGGAAGTCGCTGCTCTGATTGTTCTCCATCTTTTCTTATTTTCAAACGATGCAAATTGACGGAAGTACGCCTCGATGGGCCATTGCTCCTCATAGTCTAGGAGCTCTGGAAATTCTCGAATAACCTTGAACTTTATCGGTAAGTCGCTACAATGGGCAAAATGTGCTAAATCAGACCTGCATCTTGAATCGATCCCAACGGGCGGGGTCCTGCTTTGCGATCCCTCCATAATTTAACTCCTTCCGAGCTTTCATTCGAATATACGACTGTATTCGGCCACAGGGTCCGCCTTGGGTTTGCAGCCACTGATAGAGATTCCTTTACTAACCTTGAAATGACTGAAACGCACATGATTCATATTAATCATTTCAGACTGTAACTCCTTGACCAAGACTTTGGGGATGGCGTTTGGAACCATGTCGAAAGTTGAGATTCCTGAATTTGTGATGTTGGTTGTGATCACACTTGGAATTTGTTGATTCTAAAAATCAGAATCATGGGACCTCCCACGTGCATTCCACCAAACATCCAGACCGCGGGAAGATTTTTCTACATTTTTGAGTTGCGTTCCTTGCCATATCACTTCATGACAATATGTAATCGACAAGGCGAATTGAAGAGGCTTGATTGCACAACAAACAAGAAATGTGTATATCACATATAGTCCAGGCATAGCCCAGATAAGATATTCAGCAAAAACGGTCGCTGTCAACTGACTCAGTATTGGGGTCAGAAAATGCAAGGATCAAATAACGAACCTCTTTAGTTTAGATCGCCGATCTAGCATTGCCTCTGCTAATCGGCCCTCTTTTCTAGCCCTTTTAAGCTTAAGCATAGGGTAAGCATATATATGACAGTCTTGAAAGCGATCCTCACCTCTTTCTTGTCTTCCTGCGATGTGACTATCCGACCCGCGCCCCATGTTTGATAAAGTTGGCTGTCCAATGCAAGCTTCAGGGGGTTCCCTCAGGAAAAAAACCGCAGTCTTACTTTGAGCTAGTTTCATTGATTTTGGAGACGCTCGTTTTACCATCTTTCTTTTTCTCTTCTTCATTGGCTTCCTTCTTGTACTTGCTTTGGATTTTGACCCAAAATCGCTCCCCAAATCCGACCTCCTCACTGTCTCCTCGTAACTGAAGAGTTCCTCCGGCAACTTCATCAACACTCAGGTACTTCTCGTAAACATTCATGAAAGCGACCATCCCGTCGGGCATAATAACTGGGGTCCATTCCTCCTGAGGCCCGCGAGCATCTCTATCAGCAGAAACTAGACCGTGTGTATCACAGGATAAAAACTTCCCCTCCCCTGTTCCCGTTCGCAGATTCACTGTTGGTGACCCCGCAACACGTGTGGTCACCCAAACCTGGGAAACATCAGTTGGTGTGCGGTCCAAAAGGGTTGGTGGTTCTGTTCCACCCTCCAGCTTCTCTTTGTCTAATAAGTGCAAGACAATACGGGCAGCCGCGGCGTTGAAATTCATGCAGACCGGCGATGGGTCTGAAGGATGGATGATAAAAGTGGGGCCGCGAATTTCATGCGGGTTGTCGGGTAGTACCCATGTTTCAGGATCCTCTTCTTCGTCTTTCCTCTTGCTCCCACTTACTCTTCCGACTTCGTCATCGTCGTTGTCTCTCTTACGCTTCTTCTTTGTTTTTTCCCCCTTAAATTTGAGCTTCGTTGACCGGACCTTTTCGGTCGACATTCGTGTTAGTGATACCCAATGTCAATTTGGGAGAAAATGGTTTGGCCCAATAAACACGTGATCATTCGTGATCGGCCGTGAGAATCAGACTATCGAAAGTTATCTCCTGTGTCCCCTCGTCGTGCCCGCCGTCCTCAAGAAGCCCCTCGACAAAAATGAAGTATAATGCTGGTGTGTATCGTCTGAAATATGTATTCGTGTCTAAATATCGCGTTTTGTGTTCAATGGACGAGTTTGCGGGCAGGATTGGGCTGGATGGTGCCCTCGGACTGTGGATGGACTTAGGATAATGTGTGAGCGATACGTCCAATTGCTGACGATATTTTCTTTTATTTTCAGACGTTTCGTCCTCGCGACGCAAATCTCGCAAAGCCCACTTTTCTGCTCCATCCTCCATCCGACGCAAAATAATGTCATCAGCACTCTCGAAGGAGCTTCGTGGAAAGCACAATGTCCGTATACTCAAAAATTAGCACTTTGCAAAAGAGCTAAATCACTACACCGTAGGCACGCTCACTACCGATCCGCAAAGATGACGAAGTCCGAATTGTTCGAGGAAAATACAAGGGACGTGAGGGCAAGGTGACACAGGTCTATCGCAAGAAATGGGTCATCCATGTCGACCGCGTCCAGCGTGACAAATCAAATGGTGCAACAGCTCCCATCGGCATTCACCCCAGTAATGTTGTTATCACTACCATCAAGCTGGACAAGGATCGGTACGTTCGATGCCCTTCTGGTTTGACGATTCATTCAATATCACCATTTCAGACGAGCAATTCTGGATAGGAAAGACCGGAAGAAACCGACGGAGGTTTCAGGGGATGTGGAGATGGTCGAGGTTCGTTCGTCTTCTTTTTACCCCGACTTTGATATAACACCATTTTCCCCAGTAATTTCGTCATTTACCATCCATTTTCCCTGTTGTTTGTTATAATCCAAAACCTTCCATGTATCTATTGAACACGCTCATGACATGCAGTCACTGGACTTGAGACACTCAGGGTACATGATACAGGTTGCATTGAGTTGAAACTGACTAAAGCGGACACAATGATATAAAAAACTTCCATGTGGTGACATTCAATTAAAATATAACATCTTCATCCTTGGTGCTGAGGAAATCGGTCATAGCTCCTTCGTCATCACTTGTAGTACTGTCGTTGGGTGCGGGTTGCGCCGCATCCCGAGCCGCAGTATCTCGTTTCTTTTTTCCCTGAACCTTTTTCAACCTGTAGAATTTTCATTATGGATCGAATATAAAGTGAAAAAAAGTTAATACCTGAAGAATTCTTCCCGATCCATTTCGTCTAACTCACTGATAATATACTTAATCGTATTGTCCAAACGCGGAATAACGATGTGCTCGATCGCATTTACCCTCCGGTTAGTGGCGCGGATAACTTCGTCCAGAATGGTGAAGGCAGTTTGTAAAGACGCTAGTTCTACCAGGGTCTCGATAGCTTTTGCATAAACTTCCTTTGCCTTGAGCACCTGCTGCCCTCCACGTCCTAAACCCGTGAGATTGAAGTCTAGAGTCGTTAGTTGAATGAGAGTGATAGGGAGTTGTTTTTCCAGCATACCAGAGCCAGCCACACGATCAACCTCAAATGCGGGTAGAACAACACCAGATACGTTTTCTTGTTTCGCTTTAACTCTAAATGTTGCTAGCTTCGCCTGTTCTTGTACAAGATACGAGATGTCTCCAGTAGCATAAGTAACCTCGGCCATCGAGAACGAAGCTAGTTGCATTACTCTCCCCATCTTCCGCTTCGCCTACTCCTTACTTCGATGAACAGACGTTGGACATCGGTTGAAAATCATACGCGTACCTCATCAACCTTCTTCAAGATCGCCCGAAATCGTGTTGTAAGAGCATCCCGTTTCTTGGCCAAGAGTGAATGACCTGTCTGGGCCCCTTTGAGACGTAACTTTGTGTTTGTCAGGGCCATTCGTGTTGCAAAAACATTTTCACGAGCTCCTACTCCTGACATTGTACGGTTAATAGAGTAGACAGATTAAAGTAGGTTGATCTTGGTGCATCACACCTGTGATTTCATTGTCCCGCACATAATAGTAATACATAATATATGGTATTATTGTATCTTTAAAATTTATACCGGGGGCATAGCTCAGTTGGGAGAGCAGCAGACTGAAGTTTAATGGATTCTGAAGGTCCCGCGTTCAATCCGCGGTGCCCCCATTATTTTGTCACATCCTTGAAGTTTTCCTGAAAACATGTGGAATTCACGCTGCCTGGAGCATTTACGCACATACTCAAACTTTTGATGTTATTTAACCGACTCGATTGCAACTATATTTTTCGTCAAGTGATTCCGAGCTCGATTCACATTGTATGTATAACGAGGTATCATTATGCGATGGTGTACTTGCCATAATTCTTTTCTGGATCAAATACCTATGAGGGGTCAGCCAAATCACGAGGTCTGGGGTTTGATTAACTACATACCTCCCACCGCGACGCAGGAAATATGTGTTTGTTTCTCTGATAATAGCTCCGTTCAACGACCTTGCCAGCATGAGACTCATCTTTTTCTTTCGTGGCGTCAGCGAGGAGACGAACATCATCATGTACGTCGAAGTTGAATAAAGGACCAGATTTTCCCCTCGCTTTATTGATTATGAAGTCGTAAAATGTATAATGCTAGAACTCCTCGTCAGCAAAACAAAACACAAAAAATGAAATGTATGAAATCGACTTACATGGGGTATTATAAGATCCTCCTGACCAAGATGTAGTTAATACCCGAACCACTAAAGAGATATGAATAACTATACCTTGATATACATTAGGTTATCGACACTGACACCTCTGAGTTCAGGGAACTGCTGACGGCACTTCTCCAAGAAGCTACCAATGTCATCGCCTTTCTTACACTGAGGAAGGAGTGATGAGGCTGGAAACGGCCGCGAAATAAAATACAAAACTCACCAAGACACTTTTTCGATGGCCGCTTCCGTCCCAATAAGAGTAGACCACTTCGATCTCCTCCTTTTTGGTATGTTCTTGTTTCTGTAACCACTCTACCCTAAGTCGTTCCCTCTCCCTCCTTTCTGCTTCTTCCCGTTCTCGGTCGGGGAGAAAAGAAGTGTCAACATTGGGGTTCTTGCGAAATTTTCCCCGTTTTGAGGGGGGACCGTCTTGATCATCCTCTTCTTTATCTTTGGAAGAGGATCTTCGCCCCAAATCCAGAGTGGTATCTTCATCTTCCCCACCTTCATCATCCATGGCAAATGACAATGTAGCTTTCGCAACTTTCTTGCGCTTCTTCAATTTCTTTGTGTCGTCCCTAAACAAATTCTCCACAACCTATAAGCCATCTGAATCTCTAACCTCTTGACAAGTGCACCTGATCACGAAGAGTAGAATGCAAGTACATACTTGAGATCACTGGACCGTGCAGCCTCCCTGGCTTTGGCTTCCTCCAGCTCTTTACGTTTTTGTTGAAATTCCTCAAGTCGGACGAGGCCAACTGTACTATTTTTCAACGTCTCCTCCATAGAGTCATGCTGTCCAACAAAGCGGTTCGACGACGGCCTGGATTTCTCAGTTTCGTTGATGAGGGTTTGCTTTTGGCGTTCAAAGTCCTCACGCATCTGATTGCGCTGCTTCGCGAGGGCATCTTCTCGGCGACCTTCTGCTTTGCTTGCGGACATGAAGGTAGGTGGGTGAAGGGGTTAGGATCGGAGTGTGAATTTACACGGAAAGTCAAACCCGTGACTTGAACTTTCTTCACTTCAGCTTGCCATGGTGCACATTCTCGGTGTGAACTTGCGGGACACCCACCTCGCACGGGTAAGTCTGACAATTACCACCGAACAACATATTCATCTGACCCATTCTTAGTTTGCCCTTACAAAATTCTATGGTATTGGTCACCACACCGCACATCGCCTCTGTGCGCGTCTCCAGATTCATGACAAATGCAAAATGAAGGACCTGTCTCCATATCAGGTCACTGCATTAGCATCATTCCTCTCATCTCCGAGCACCTCACCTCCATTGCCGCGATACCCATTGGCGAGCTCAAGTTTCGTTCCACCTCCGCCAAACAAATCCGTTCAAGAGCTCCAAAATGAATTTAACGCCGCCAAAGCCGTGCGCGAAACGAAAAAACAGAAGAGGGTGGAAACTTATACGGTCAAAGAGAACACATACGTTGATCCTTTGAAGGAACTACGTATCGAATCAGAGCTGAGGAGAATGATACGTGAAAATATTGCGCATCAACGAATGATTGGAAGTTATGTAGGAAGGAGACATGCCATGCATCTTCCAGTCAGAGGGCAGAACACGCAGTCCAACGCGAAGACAGCAAAAAAACTTAATCAACTGGATCGATATTAAAAGGTAGGTTAGTGTAATTAAAAACAACGCCCATTTTTTCGAGGTTCCATCTCCATTGTCAAGTTTTTAGGATCCCACCCTGCAATAAAGAATCAGCATTGTTATTTTTGAGTTCTGCTGACCATCTTATACTCAGTATGTTATACTATATGTGGCCAGGTGTTTTGAAATTTTGACCAAACTCCAATCCCCGAGCGACCAGAGCATCGCTGCCCCCAGTCCTGCCACATAATTATGGCTGAACATATTAGCTAACATCTTACTGATTCAAAATCTGCATGTGTTCAGAGTCAACCCTTTAGTAAAATTTTTGAGGTTAGAGAGGCCCCACCTTGGTAGGGAATCCTCAGATTGACCTCTCAGGATCTCCCCTACCAGGTGGATGTTTAGACATGTACCATAGGCAATATACTCAGGATCTGCCCTACCAGCTGGAAGTTGGCTGACTTGTGATTGCATGTGCTCTGACTTAGGGTCACCCTGACAGTAGATCAATCTCACCACACAGAGACCAATTCATGTGCCCTTGCCCACCATAGCAAGATACGGAGCTCAGAGTGACTCAGAGCACAACACTGACTCTGCTATAACCACACATGACCATCCCTCTCCAACCCCTGATCACTCTGACTTGCCCTGACTTGAGATCAAAATGGATGTACCACCATAGATAGACCTGCAATTAGAAATCAATGCAATGGTAGAGATGATCCGTGTTACAGTTTCTCTTTACTCTTCGTTATCTTATCTTACCTTGCACTATCTAATCTTTGGACTATCTCTTTTCCTCATATCTTCTTACTCTGTGTTCCATTCCCATCGTTCCTATTATTACACCCACTTTTCACATCATTACTCAGCACTACATTTGTAACTACCAATAGCGCTTATCCCTCGCCAAAGCATTACTCATCATGCTTCTTTTAGACTTATATATATACCATACAATGTAGTAGATAGTCCTCAGCTTGACCTAGCTGAATATACCTTATTCTCTACAACTCAACACTCAGCTCAATCCTACTTGCCTTAGAAGGGGGTAGTGCATCTCAGAACCAGAAGACAGACTTGTCCTTTATATCAGGAAGTCTATAGATGTCAGACTTCATTGTTGACAGTCTTATCAAACCAATAGTTGATCTTGATCTAGAGGACAACACTCAACAGCCATAACAATCCAGCTGCAGTTGGAACAGCTGAGAATGCTCCAAGAACAAGTATCAACAATTGTAAATGGTGCTGTATGTCCTGTAGATACACTTCCAACTACTCTGATACCCACATCACATGATCAGGAGCCTGTTCAATGATCATCACTCTGGCCAGCACTGCCCAATGACTTTGATGGCCAATGTGAAAATGGACAAGCATTCCTGAACATGTGCAAACTGTACATACAACTTGTACCACACCAATTCACAAACAAGATTGTACAGATCAGATGGGCCTTCACGTTCATGAAGACGGGCCGTGCATACTCATTCACTCACTGATCGGGTGATCCAATATGAATGATCAAAAGGCCTCCCACTATATCATTCTTGGGAAGCATTTCAATCAGACTTCACAAAGCACTTCTTTGTCCAAAGCAAGGTCCAGTGTGCGATCACACAACTAGAGACACACAACTACCACCAGGGAACACAATCAGTAGACGGGTACACCGATGAGTTCCAAAACCTCATTGATCAGGCTGGGTACACAGAAGGACTGACAATTGTCATCAAGTACCGCAAGGAACTGTTGGCAGACATCCAGACACAGGTAGCAACAATGACGACAGGCTGGCCTGCTGACAACAATATCAAAGCATGGTACTCAGCAGTGAACATGTGCAATGAGAACTGCATCACCAATGCGGCCTTCCTGAGCACAAACCCAAAGACCACAGGCCCTCATCAAGCTTTGTCAGTCCCACGAACAATTCCAACGATGTTCAGAACAAATCCAACACCGGCCTACACACTGACGTTCAACATCAGGCCACTTCCTGCAGTACCCCCAGCACTAACACCTGCTCAGAACATACCAGCACCTGTTCCCATGGATGTTGACGCGATACGACAACAATCAGGCAACGTACTGGTCTGCTACTGCTGTGGACAGAACGGCCACATGAAACGCAACTGCCCACGCCTGTTACGGCTGTTGGGTCTTATCCTCTAGATCAAGACCTAATCAATTGGTTCAATAAGACCGTCGACAATGAAGTCTGACATCTATAGACTTCCTGATATAAAGGACAAGTCTGTCTTCTGGTTCTGAGATGCACTACCCCCTTCTAAGGCAAGTAGGATCGAGCTGAGCGTTGAGTTGTAGAGAATAAGGTATATTCAGCTAGGTCAAGCTGAGGACTATCTACTACATTGTATGGTATATATATAAGTATAAAAGAAGCATGATGAGTAATGCTTCTGGGAGGGATAAGCACTATTGGTAGTTATAAATGGAGCACTGAGTAATAGTGTGAAAGGTAGATGTAATAATAGGATTGGTGGGAATGGAATGGAGGGCGAGAAGATGTAAGGGAAAGAGATAGTCCGAGGGTCAGATAATGCAAGATAAGATAAGATAATAAAGGGAAAAGAGAAACCATAACAATGCCAGTATGACACACAATTCATGACAACAGAAGAGGCCGAGGACTACATACAGGAAGTCCTTGTTGCAATGGATATACAAGCTGCCCAGACAATGCCAAACAGCATACCAGAAGTCAAAGAGGATGCACAGGATTTTGTTACAAGCAGTGGGTGACCAGTACGCCCCCACTGCTATCTGTAAATAGATTTGCTTGTCTACATGTTGAAAATACACCAGTAGATGTCAAAAAC